GGAGGGGCTGGCCTGCTTCCGCCGCGAGCTCTGCCCGGGTGCCCCTGCTAGTAAGAGCTCCCCAGTGCCCTGGGGACTGTCCCCGAGCGCCGGGGCCCAAGCGGACCGGCGCCGGCACCGCATCGCGAATCGGGTGCACGGATTCACCTCGCAGGTGTTTTCGCGCACCTGGCAGGTAGGCTCCTCGCCCCTCGAAGTTGCCGTCATTAGAGGACCTGCTGCTATAGAACTGTTTTTACGTTTCTGTTTCAATCCTATTTTGTGATTTTATTTTTACTTTGTATTTTATCTTATTTTATATTTTAATTTCATTTCATTTTATTATAATCCTGTGCATTTTATTGTAGCCATATAAAACATCACAGTAGCTGGGGCACCTGGCTGGCTGGATTGGAAAAGCGTGGGACGCTTGACCTCAGGGTCGTGAGTTCGAGCCCCACGTGGGCGTGGAGCCTACTTTAAAAACATAAATAATAAAAATAAAACGTTGTAGTCCTACGTGCTGTATCTGAGAATACTCAGTTCTGCTAGGGCGGACGCGAGAAATGAACAGGACCGATGAAACTCATGAAGCGTGGTCCGCATGGAGAAGAAGCAAGCTAGCAGCTTAAGATACTTGATGTTGAGCAGGCAGGTAGGTTGCGAGGCATAGGGAAGAATCTTAGGTATGGCGAAGGTAAACAGAATAATTGGGCTCTGCGATGGAACAAATCAAATAGAGAGTAACCAAATCGAAAGATGTGATCGTTCCACTTCCGGGTTCGCCCCTTGGTGCTCACATGCTCCCGTTGTGGCCCCATCGGCGCTGCCCAAGAATTGCAGGTAAAACGCTTGTCTGTTCAGCGGGCTACTTGTGACCCGCCGCGCTTGTCCGTGTCTCTGTGAGTGGGCTCCAGGCTCTCCGTGGAGGGGCTTTGAGCATTCTCAGCCCCGGGATTCGTAACCCCACTGCCTGGCTGACTGATGCAGCGGGAAGAGAAACATACCCACACTGCATGACCCAGGTTCAGATGGCGCGCTCGCCTGCCTTGCTGGACTCTGTGTGTGTGATCTACCGGGTCTTGAGGCTCTTTCTGCAGGAAGGTTAAATCAGGCGTTTCAAGTTGATTCAAGGAACCCTGTAGCTCAAGCATCTTACTTTGGTCTGTGTGGCTTTCTCTCCCGTGACTTCCGGGATAGCTCGCCCGATAGCGGTGCCCGTGGACTTCGCTGGGCCGTGTAGGGCTCCTGGGCGCACTCGAAGGTCAGGAATTCCTGTCCTGGGGCCCAAAGGAGAGCGAGCCATATCCGACTGCTTGCTCAGCGTTTTGGCTTGGGTGTCTTAACGTGCTTCTCCAGTGATGTCCAAAACCTCCCCGTGAGCAGCCCCCTCAGGATGAGGCCCCGGTTCTCCCGCTGCTTACACCAGACACCTTGACCCTTCTCTTCTGTCCCACACCCAACCCGTCACCAAATTCTAACTTCTGACTCCAGTGGTTTCTTCTATTTTTAATGTTCCGCTACCCGTGCACCTGCTGCCTCCCACTCTCTACCTTCTCAGCTGCATAGGGAGAGGGGAGGCTCTGTCCTCCTGGCCTCTCTGGCTGCCACCCCCTGGCTCTGAGGGGGGGGTGGTGTCACAGGGTCACTTCCCGGTGCCTCGCAGGGGCTCGGACTCATGGAGCATGAGATCATGACCTGAGCCGAAGTCGGACGCTTAACCGACTGAGCCACCCAGGCGCCCCTATTTTGCTGAGTGGTGCCATGCACTCACAAATATTTGTTGAATGAATGAATGAGTGAGTGAATGAACGAATCCCTCACTTGGCATGTCCTCTACACAGACTGTTTCATAATAACGTTCCTTCACGCTTAAATAGATTTTCATTCTTTACAAAAGGCGTTCATAAACATTGTTTCCTCCTTACTATAATGCTCCGTAAAGCTAGCTTTAAAAAACCCTAATAACAGATCGTATTTACTTGGAAGCATTCAGTCTGTCCACAAAACAGCTGCCACTCCCCCTCCCCCAATCGGTAAACAGAACAACAATTATTTCCTATAAGCTTCAGGAGAAGAAAGTTGGAAGCCGCCATGCGGTCAGGTATAACAAACCAGGTATAGCTAATTTGCACCAACAAGAACCTGCCTTGAAGGCCGATGCTGATTCACAGCCCGAACGCTATGCCCGGTAAGGTTGGCGGCTATCGAAAATACCACCGGGGGGCGCCTGGGTGGCTCGGGTCGGTTAAGCGTCCGCTTCGGCTCAGGTCATGATCTCGCGGTCCGTGAGTTCTAGCCCCACGTCGGGCTCTGTGCTGACAGCTCAGAGCCTGGAGCCTGTTTCGGATTCTGTGTCTCCCTCTCTGCCCCTCCCCTGCTTGCGCATTCTCTCTCTGTCTCTCTCTCTCAAATATAAATCAACATTAAACAAACAGACAAAAAGAACACTCTGGGGGGCGCCTGGCTTGCTCCTTCCCGCAAGTTTGCACAAGAGCACCTGTGATGACATTCTCCTGTGGGCTACATAGGGTCTCCTCCCCCACGTATGGGGGTTTCTCCCCAACAAGGAGAAGAATCAGCCCCCAACCCCGGGCAGGACTCAGCTGCCCTTCGGACTCTCTCTGCTTCTGTGTGGGACATCTTTGTCGTAGGAAAGTGACTTCTGGCACACGGAGGTCACCACTACAGTGTTTCCCTACCTGCCTTTCTTGTGTTTTCTTCCACGGTGGGGACGAAGGATCTTCTCAGTTTTGCTTAAGACATTCCAGGTAAGAACTCTGATGAAACCATCGTGGGTCAGAGGCCCCCTCCTGGACCCACCAACAGTGACCGAGAGGTCCGGGAGCTGTATTACGGCCATGTGGTTGGGGCGAGGGGAGGTCCCCCAGAAAAGAAGGTGCCAGGCAGACAGTAGTCATTCCAGTTTGCCTCACGAGAGACTGACAGCTGGTGGCCTGAAGGCCAAATTCAAACACGCAGTATTGTCTCGATCAGGTTTAGAATGGTTTGAAACCATTTGTTAACATTTCAAAATGTGGATATTTTTCATAAATGTCTGGATTTCTGTGTTTTTTTTAATGTTTATTTTTGAGATAGAGAGTAAGAGAGAGAGCAAGGGAGGGGCAGAGAGAGAGGGAGACACAGAATCCAAAGCAGGCTCCAGGCTCTGAGCTGTCCGCACAGAGCCCAACGCGGGGCTCGAACCCACGAACTGTGAGATCGTGACCTGAGCTGAAGTCGGACGCTCAACGGACTGAGCCACCCAGGCACCTCTGCGTTTCTGTTTTCACCTGAAAAATGTCGAACTGTGGGAACATTGGGCCCTGTGTTCTCACACGGGAACGTGGCTGGAGCCCAACGGGGGCTGCTCATTAACAACCGGGTCCTCAGCACCCCCCCCCACCTCTCCCTACGTCCCTGTTGTAATTGTCCGCTGCTGTCCCCCACCCCTACTTACATCTCTGCGTTGTCACATTTTACTTCTTTCCAGTGTGTATTTAAAGCTACATCCCTTATCCTGTAATCAACCATCCAAAACGGTGGGGCGGAAGACAACAAAAATCCTTTCTGGGGGCTGGCTGGGCTCAACCACAGGTGCCTGTCACTCAGGCTCTGGGGGGCTGCAGTCGCAGGGGGGTTGGAGTCCTGTCCGAGTCTTCTTCCTGCGGGGGCTGCCGCTGGCCCCGGACAGGTGGTTTCTCCTGGCGGCCTCAGGACAGACTCCGTTGCTGTGCCCCATGCTCTGCCTTCTTTCCTTCAGCCCCATCCTTTCCAGGAGCTGTTCTCATTTTCAGAGGAGAGAACGGAGACCTGGAGGGGGGGGGACACGACCAAGGTCACCCAGTATGGAGCCTGGAGCACCGAGCCCAGCCTTTCTCTGCAGATCACAGGGCCCCTCCCCCCGGGTCTCGCTCTCCCTCGTCCTCCCCACCGTCTGTGCGAAAGCGGGGGTCTCCCGCGCCCCTCCCGTACCGTGCCCAGAGCTGGCTCCCCTCGGCAGGAACTGTATCACCCAACTTTTCTTTCTCTACGCCGGCTTGGTGTCTGATATTTAGGCGACCCTCAGAGAAGAATTATCTGAGTTTTTTAGGTGTCTGTGGCTCTCAGTTTTCTGTCTGGCTCCAAAAGGAACCCAATTCCTGGGGTGGTGTGGGGACGGGGGTGGGGGATGGCTGAGCAGGAGACCGGGAACCTGTCCCCACGAGTTTGGCTGTCCACTGTCCCAGCCAGGCCCACGGAACCTGCTGTCTTGCAGGGGGAGGGGGCGCGAGAGACAGAGTCTGGATGACCTTAAGGAATTTACCGTGACTTTCCTTCGATCAGTATAAACAACAGAAATGAGCAGAAAAGATTAAGTGATGTGCACATAAACAGAAAAAACAGTGAGAACCTTTCCTCCTGTCCGTCCCTCCCGTTCCTACATTCGAGAGGTCACCCCTGTGACCGTATTGTTTGACCTGGGTCCTGCAAGTCTCTTCCTTCCCGTCCCCCCCCCCCACACACAGAGTTTGAGATCCTATGATGGACACACTGTACCCTAATTTGCTTTAATATCCCAGAGGCATCTCTTCCTGTCAGAAATAGGGGACACGTCATTCATTTTAACGCCGTGTGCACACTCATAATACAGATGAACTACACTTCTGTGGGTTTGTTGGTGTGCTGGGAGGGATGGGACGTTATCTGCATGCGTGTTATTCATACAGGGTTTTCATAGGTCACACGCGGTAGACACGTCCTTTTCGTGAAATGCTCGGATCTGCTCTGTCCGATGCAGCAGCCATGGGAACGGCCACTACACAGCCCGGAGGGGTGACGGGACTGAGAGGGCGTGTACAGTGAGTGGGTAAATGCACATCGGATGTCTGAAGACTTGGCACAAAAAAAAATGAAGGGAAATAGCTCGTTAGTAATTTCTTTAGTTTGCTCCAGGCTCCGAGCTGTCACCACGGAGCCCGACCTGGGGATCGAACCCACAAACCGCGAGATCACGACTTGAGCCGAAGTTGGACGCTTAACCGACTGAGCCACCCAGGCGCCCCAATGTGTATATTTAGAGCTACATCCATGATCCTGAGTTATGCTCTGACCACATTGTTCAGATTCGTAGGTGTATTCTACTTGGTTGTTGAAAGAAAGTTATTCTATTTCCATAAACATTGTAATTGCAAAATAAAATTGCTTGTAATTATGCAAGTAATACATGATTATCGTTTGGTTGTTAAAATAGAGACAGTTTGTGAGTTCGTGCCCCACCTTGGGCTCACTGCTGTCAGCCTGTCAGCCCAAAGCTTGCTTTGGATCCTCTGTCCCCCGCTCTCTGACTCTCCCCTGCTTGCGATCTTCCAAAAATATATAAACATCTATTTTAAAAACCCCCAAAAAACAAAAAAGAAGTGGGGCGCCTGAGTGGCTCAGTCAGATGTGTCCAACTCAGGTCATGATCTCATGATGGGCAAGTTCGAGCCCCACATCTGGCTCTGCACTGATGGCACAGAGCCTGCTTGGGATTCTCTCTCTCTGCCCCTTCCCCGTGCTATCTCTTTCTCTCTCTCTCTCTCTCTCTCTCTCTCTCTCTCTCTCTCTCTCAAAAAAAAAAAAAAAGGAAGCAAGCTGTAGACTGGGTGAGTGTATTTGCAACAGGTGCATCTGACAAAGAATTTGAACCGATAAAACCTTACAAAACCCCGCCACAAATCGATACCGAACAAACGAGCCACCCAATAAAAAGTGAGCGAAAGACTTGAACAGACAGCTCGGGCCGGTAAGCACATGGGAGGAGCTCAGCACCGGGAGTCAGCAGGAAACACGAATTAAACCCAGTAGCTGGGCTACTATTTCACCCCTGCTGGAGCGGTTACGCCGGAGAAGACCGTGAGGACGTGGAGTAAATCGAGCTTTCCACGCTGCCGGTGGGATCATGAAACGGAGCAACCCCTCCAGAGAAGCGTGTGGCGCTTGCCTACAAAGTCGTGTGCGTATCTGCGCCACGATCTAGGACTTCCGTTCCTAGGTGCCCCGGAATCAGGAAGACGTACTCCGTGAAAAGACTGTGAAGAATCACGGCGACTTTCTTCACGGCAGCCTGACACTGGACACAAGCCACCTACCCATCGGCAGGATAACTGAGAAACCGTACTGTGGTCTCACCACGGGCTCTGCGAGGCCATAAAAAGCAACGACCTACGGATACATGCAACACTGTGGGTAAATCTTCAGCCGTGTTGAGTAAAAGAAACCACATGCAAAACGTTCATACTGTACGATCCCCGATCCCCGTGGGAGAGGCTAGAATGAGGCAGGGAGACGAAGGATGGCTTGGGAGGGGCATGTCGGAACTTTCTCGGGCGACGGAAACGTTCTAGATCTTGTTTTGGGTTGCGGTAACTTGGATGTTTACCATTGCCAAAACCCACCAGACTGATGATCTCGCGGTTCGTGAGCTCAAGCCCCACATGGGGCTCTGAGCTGACCGTGCGGAGCCTGCTTGCGATTCTCTCCCTCTCTCTCTCTGCTCCTCCCCACCCCCAAACTAAATAAATAAACTTAAAAAAAGAATACGCGTATATGCTTTAAAATTTTTTTTTTAACGTTTATTATTTTTGGGACAGAGAGAGACAGAGCATGAACGGGGGAGGGGCAGAGAGAGAGGGAGACACAGAATCGGAAACAGGCTCCAGGCTCTGAGCCATCAGCCCAGAGCCCGACGCGGGGCTCGAACTCACGGACCGCGAGATCGTGAACTGGCTGAAGTCGGACGCTCAACCGACTGCGCCACCCAGGCGCCCCGCGTATATGCTTTAAAAAAAAAGACCGATATTCTGTTTTGTTTGTGTGTGTGTGTATATGTATATATATGTACATACATATATCACCTTTTCTTTGTTCATCCATCAATGGATTGTTTCCACCTTCCAGCTGTCGTGAATAATGGGCCTATGAGCATAGGTGTACAAATAGCCATTTGAGGACCTGTTTCCGATTCTTTTGAGTAAATACCCACAGGCGGATCATATGGTGATTCTGTTTTGAAATTTTTGATGATTCACCGCACCGTTTTCCGCAGGAGTGGCACCATTTTCACAACGCCCAAAGGTTCCATTATAGCCACATCTTTACCAACATTTGTTCTCCGTTTTTTTCTGATGGTTGTCCTCCTGATGGATGTGAGGTGGTATCCCATTGTGGTTTTGGTTTGCATTTCCCTAATGATGAGTGATGTTGAGGCTCTTTTCATGTGCTTTTGGGCCACCAGGATGTCTTTGGAGAAATGTCTAGTCAAGTCCTTTGCCCGTTTCATAGTTGGGTTATTTGGTTTCTTCCTTTGTGGTTGGGTTGTGGGAGTTTTGTATTTACCTTCTGGATATGAACTAAACCCATTATCAAATGTGTGAGTCGCACATATTTTCTCCCATTGCGTAGATTGCCAGCTCCGTGGATTGTGTCCTTTGACGCACAGAAGTTTTAACCTTTGATGTCGTCCAATTTATCTGTTTTTCCTTTCGTCCCCTGTGCTTTTGGGTCATATCCAAGAAATCAGTCGCCATCAAATCCCACGTCAGGAAGCTTTCCGCTGTGTTTTCTTCTACCGATAAGAACAAATACTACACTTGATCTTAGCCAAAAGGCCGAGAAGCGATTCCGCTATGTTTTCTTCTAAAAGTTTCATAGTCTTTGCTGTTACTCTTAGGTCTTTGATGTGTTTTGAGTTAATTTCTGTATACACAAAATACAAAGGTAATATACAGGTATAAGTAAGGTAAGAGTCCGGCTGCATTCTTTGGCATGTGAATGCCCAGTTTCCCCAGCACCATTTGTCGAAGAGACTGTCCTTTTCCCGTCGAATAGTCCTGGCGCCCTGGTTGATGAGCCGTTGGCCACCGGCTCAAGGGTTTGACTTCTGGGCTCTCTATTCTGTTCCATCGGCTGATATGTGTACCTTCCTGCCGGGACCACACTGTTTTGATTTTGTAGCTCTCTAATAAGTTTCGAGATCAGGCAGTGTAAGACCCATAACTTTATTCTTCTCTGCCCAAAGTTGTTGAAACAAAACTCAGACAACCTGGCAGGATTGGCCAAAAGATAAAAGAAGGTGCAAACAACGTCTTGACTGAAAAGGGGGTCCCCAGGGGTTTCCTGTCGAGCAGGTGAGCACAAGACACGTGACAGGTCAGGCGCGAGGCGGGTGGGGACACAGCCTGGCCCGTGGCTGGGAAGAAGTCCGGGACAGATGTCTCCGGACGCCTGCCGGTGTCTGCCGCGTTTCCATCTCGGGTCGTTGCTCTTCCTCAGCAGGAAGTGGCCTTTGCAGTAAAAATAACTGTGTCCTCACAAACCAAGAAACGGACTCTTAACTCTAGAGAGCACACTGACGGTGGTCGCCAGAGGGGAGGTGGTGGGGGATGGGTGGGCCAGTTGAGGGGGATTAAGGAGGCCACTTGCCGTGGTGAGCGCGGGGTGATGTAGGGAAGTGTTGAATCACTTTACCCGAAGCGAATAGAACGTGTCTGTTCCCTAACTGGAATTTCAATACAAACTTAAAGATAGGGTTTACACTATTTCCCACTTTATAATTATTCTTCATACAAGTTTCTAGATGAATATTGTATATTTCCATAAATTTTTTGTGTGTGTTTATTTTTGAGACAGAGAGCGAGCGACAGAGCGCAAGCAGGGGAGGGGCGGGGAGAGGGAGACACAGAATCCGAAGCAGGCTCCATCCACGCTCAGAGCTGTCAGCACAGAGCCCGACGCGGGGCTCGAACTCACGAACCGTGAGATCATGACCTGAGCTGAAGGTGGACGCTTAACCGACTGAGCCACGGTGCCCCATATCTTGGGTCGTTTTAAAAACCAAGGCGTGGAGGAGGAAGGAAGGGAGGCATCCCGATCACCTGAACACAGAACCCGAGCCCTCACTGGGTTTGACCATATGTGGCTCTCGCGGGGTGGGTGGTCTTCAAACGTAGTGGCTCTGGGTTGTCTACTCACGTGTGTCTTTGAGGTCGTATGTACTTGTCTTTGGTTTTGTCTTCCACAGCCCGTGGCCGGGGATTGTGCGTGGGGAAGCAAGGGTGGGCGTGCGCTCCCGTGATGGGGGTCCTGGTGGATTGTCTTCTGCCCGCGGGAGCCGCCGTCGCTCCCGGGCCCCCCACGCCGGATGTGCCCTCGTCACCTTGACTGTGGCCCGGGAGACACCCCCCGCCCCGTGGTGTCTGGGCGTGCAGCTCCCCTAACCCTCTCCCACCTCCGTGGTGAACTTCTTCCCAAGCGTTTCGTGGGACTTTGCACGCACAGCCCGCCCTGCCTGCTGTGTGCCCTTGGAGACTCTCTGGGGTATTGGTCCCCCGGGTATGATCCCAGGTGCTGTCTGGACATCTTGGGGCCTCACAGGGTCTAACTGTGAGTTCCCGGGACCGCCCCCGACCCAGCAGGAAAGGCCCCCCCCCTCCCCCGCCTGGCTCCCCCGCCAGCTGGCCCCGCTGCACCCCAGCCCCCTGGACCTCAGTCTCGGTGTCACCTTCCTGCCAGCCTGAAAAATCACTCAACAAACCCATCGTCACCCTACCTTCTCACTACGGAACCTGCCCCCCCCCCCCCCCCCCGGCTCCTGCTTGTCTACCCTGCCCCCTGGTGCAGCCAGGGCGGCCCCTCAGGGTGGGCGGTGTGCCCTCCCCAGCGGTGAGTGTGGGTTGCCAACCTCAGCTGCCCTGTGTTCCGTTTGGCCCTGTCCTGCTTTTAGGGCAGGGATCCCTCCTTCGCCCGCGGGTGACTAGGAGGTGATCGGAGCACAGTGATGGCAGGTACTCTTTCTCCTTTTCCCGCGTCGTATGGGTCTATCCGTGTACCTTAATCATGTCTTCTCTGGGGAGCCTGGGGGGCTCAGTCAGATGAGCGTCCGGCTCTTGATTTCGGCTCAGGTCGTGATCTCACGGTTCATGGGATCGAGGCCCATGTCAGTCTCTGTGCTGACAGCTCAGAGCCTGCTTGGGATTTCTTCTCTCTCCCTCTCTCTCTCTCTCTCTCAAAATAAATAAACTTAAAAAACTGCATTTCTTCTCTGACTTCGCAGGGACTTGGTATTTTAAATGACATGAGTATTTTATGGGGCGCCTGGGTGGCGCAGTCGGTTAAGCGTCCGACTTCAGCCAGGTCACGATCTCGCGGTCCGGGAGTTCGAGCCCCGCGTCAGGCTCTGGGCTGATGGCTCAGAGCCTGGAGCCTGTTTCCGATTCTGTGTCTTCCTCTCTCTCTGCCCCTCCCCCGTTCATGCTCTGTCTCTCTCTGTCCCAAAAATAAATAAACGTTAAATGACATGAGTATTTTAAATGACATGAGGTATTTTAAACGACACGTACTCAGTCTATCTCCCAGTAATTTCCTTGGTTTTTATTTACTATTATCATCATCATTATTATGGGGGGGAGGGGCAGAGAGAGAGGGAGAGAGAGAATCTCAAGCGGGCTCCAAGCTCGGCTCAGAGCCCGAGGTGGGGCTCGATCCCACGACCCTAGTACTGTCCGTTTGTAATGTTATTTTTATTTATGTAGTGTCTGATTGCCGAGGAGACCAAGTATCTTTTGGTATGGCACGAGCTATGTCAATTTCTTCCTCTGTGAATTTCCCCTACTATCATTAAAAAAATCCCCCCATGTTGTACTTTATATTAGGCTTCCTGCTTTTTTTTTTTTTAATGACATACACACGTTTGACTTTATTTCCCTGTTTGCTCCCAAGTCCCAAGTGCTCCTTCCCACACGCTCCGTTCATTAACACGGCGGCCCGAGGAGAAAGCTGTGGCCTGAGGGAGGCGCTGGGAGAGGCCGGCGGGGTGGGGGGGGGCGTCTTCGCTAGGGAGAGGCCCCTTTCCTAAAAACCCACAACATCCACGGTCCTGTTGTTTTCCCTCCTGATCTGTAATTCTTGTGCGCAGCCCATAAAAACAACACCCAGCCTCATTCCTCCGGGGATGGGGAGGGAGGTCGGGGGCCACCCCAGCAGGCGGGCACCCCCGGCCGGGGCTCCGAGGCCTGGCTCTTGTTTGCCGGATGGCCCTAATGCCGGAGCAGTGCCCGGGCGCAAGTGTGGGCACACACGCGACCACGGGTCCCCCTCCCTGGGCGGACCGCCCCCTCGGCCTCATGCGAGACAAAGACGTGTGGTTTGAGCTGTAGGGGCGCCCTGGGCACCGGGCCTTGCGGGCTCAGGGCAGGGGGACAGGAGCGGCCAGGAAAGCCTGGTGCTTTGGTCGGAAACGCAGGCCACAAGCGGTGTCGGAAGGGAGCCCCTCTCCAGTGGCCTGGGCGCTGGTGTCCTGGGGGCCTTGTCACCTCCTATGGAACCAGTGCAGTCAGAGAAGGCGGAGGGGGTGGGAGGGCGGGGGGTTGGGGTCTTGCCTCATTTCTCCCGGTCTCCCCCCTCCGCCATCCCCCTGCCCAGTATGGGGTCTTCATGTCAAGGAGAACTGGGCAGGGCGCCTGTGTAGGCCACACCTCACAAAGAGGGTGCTCGGAACTTTTTGAGTCATGGGCAACACCTGAACAGACCCCTCCCAGAGGACACCTGCAGCAGGGGATTAGAAAAGACAGCTTCTCAGGGCGCCCGGGGGGCTCAGTCGGTGGAGCGCCCGACTTCGGCTCAGGTCATGATCTCACGATTCGTGAGTTCGAGCCCCGCGCGGGGCTCTGTGCTGACTGTACGGAGCCTGGAGGCTGCTTCGGGTTCTGCCCCTCCTTCTCTCTCTGCCCCTCCCCTGCTCCCACGCTGTCTCTCTCTCTCTCAAAAATAAACAAACGTTAAAACTTTAAAAAAATATATTAAAAAATAAAAGAAAGAAAATTGCATCAAAATCCGGTGGTTCTCCTTCCTCTGCGATGTCAGAGGGCAGGAAATTTAGTTAGAACGAAATACGCGCACATGATCTGATGTTCTAAGATTGGAGGTTTTGAATTACGGCGGAACCCCACCGTGACGTGATTTAGTTGAATTACTGAGAAATAATGGAGTCAAATTTAATTCCCCGCATAGGACAACAAGGGGCAAAACCCGGGACTCTTCAAACAGGGAGGCATCTCTGAGCTGTGTCTGGTCTCCTAGATTCACAGCGGGGCAGAGGTGATTCCGCGAAGGGCAGCCGGCTGGGGCGGCAGAGTGGGAGGGCTGAGCTGTTCTGGCCATTGCTCCCTCGTGCTGCCCGGACAGGAACACGGTGAACTTAGACCAGTTGAGGACTCCTGTTCTGGAAAGAGGCAGTCTCCAACTGAGAGACTGGGCAGTGGTGTAAGGACGCATCGGTGAGTGAGCCTGGGATGATTCAGGCTCAGGAAGCAGGTCGACCTGAGACGGGCTTGGTCTACCGGGATTGTGGACAGCTTGTCCCCCTCCAGAGCCAGGGACTGTGTCGTGGGGACACAACCAAAGCATCCTTCTCTCCAAGCTGATCAGAACCTAGTATAAACCCATGCACTCTCCCATCTAACCTGTGAACTCTCGAGGACAGAGCCATTATCTGGCTCATTTTTTTTTTTTTAAGTTTATTTATTTATTTTGAGAGAGACAGAAATAGCACAAGCAGGGGAAGGGCAGAGAGAGAGAGAGAGAGAGAGAGAGAGAGAGAGAATCGCAAGCAGGCTCCACGTTATTAGCACAGAGCCCGACGTGGGGCTTGAACCCACGAACTGCGAGATCATGACCTGAGCTGAATCCAAGAGTCGGACGTTTAACTGACTGAGCCCCCCAGGCGCCCTGAGTGTCTGGCTCATCTTGGAAGCTCTGTACCTGGGACAGCGACTGGCACGAAAATAACTCCATAGATGTTTGCAAAATAAATGACAACCGCCATATTTGGAGCCGACCCCGGAGCAGACTAAAATCACGGCCGGCCCATTGCCTGATAGAGTTGAACTTGCTCGTCTCCTCCGACCTACTAAGGACACACCTGCCCATTGGCGTCAGAAGACCAGACATTAAAAAAAAAAAAAAAAAAAAAATGCTTGTAACAGGATCGTTCACAACAGCCCCAAATGGAAACAACCCAAATCCCCACAAATGGTAGGATAAACGTGTTGTGGTATATCCATTCAGTGGAATACTATACAACAATGTCAATGAGTGAACTACAGCCCGTGCATTAACGTATATGAATCTCAAAGACAGTACTCAGTGAAAAAATTAAGTCAGAGAAAAATTAATTGAGCCTAGATCCATTTATATAAAATTCAAAGTGAGGAAAAACTAAACAACGTGTTGCTTAAAGTTCCTCACGTATGTCGTAATACATTAAAGAAAAGCAAGGAAATGATTAACGCACGTTTTCGATAGTAGTTATTTCAGGCGGAATGGAAGGGAATACATCTCAGGGAGATTCGAAGTCATCGGTGTTATTCTGTTTCAGTCAGATAACGAGCACACGACCATTATTATTCTTTAAAAAGGTTATACGTGAGGGGCGCCTGGGCGGCTCGGTCGGTTAAGCACCTGACTCGGTTTCGGCTCAGGCCGTGATCTCACAGTTCGTGGGCTCGAGCCCCGAGTCGGGCTTCCGCGATGACAGTGTGGAGCCTGCTCGGGATTCTCTCTCTCCCTCTCTCTCTCCCTGCCCCTCCCGACTTGCGTGCTCTCTCAAAATGAATGAACTTAACAACAACAAGAACATCTGGATGGCAATTTATTAATTTACCATGGGAAACTGGTATGCAGTAGACCTGAACTTGGAATTGACTGGTCAAGGTTGTTATCCTTTTAGGAAAGAAGGTAGGGTGCCCTTTGGGAATCCGAAGGGAGAGCAGGACCCTGTGTCTGTGGCTCGGACAGAGGGTCTGCAGGGCCGAAGTCCGCAGGCTGTGGGGCCACAGACTGCCCTGCGCTCCGGGGTCACCGGGGCACTGCACCGTCCCTGTGCGCTGGCTGCGTTTGGAGCCTCGGCAGCTCACCTGCAAAGGGTGGGCAGGGATCCTGCGTTCGCCGCTGACTCCCCCTGGACAGAGGGCAGGGGTGGAGCAGAGGTGGGGGGGGGTCCTGAGAGGGACGGGGGGGGCCCTGGGAGGGGTGGGGGCCACAGCCAGCTCCGGGAACACCGCAGCAGGGCCCAGACCTGTGATCAGAGACCCAGGGCGGCCGGGCCGGCGCGTTCCCCGTGGCCAGGACTGTCCTAGCCGGCACCTCCAAATCCTCGGCCTGCCGACCTTTTCCCGTCAGTTCCCAGCGTGGAGGATGGCGCTTTGGGTCAGCGGCGAACACCCGACCGCAGGAGAAAGCCCACTCTGGGGGTGCGTCTGGGCCCACCCCGGGGGCGATGGGGACAGAGGGACGACTGGGAACCTCCATCTCCTGGGGACAGGTGAGTCAGGGAGGGGAGGAAGGCCGGGCCTGGGATTAGAAATCTCTCCCGTGGGCGGTGGGGAAGAACTCGCCCCCGTCACATGACCGGTGGTGCGCTTGGGGGCACCAGGGGGGGTGCCCTCCTGGGTTCGTCTTATGCTTACAACCCTCGATCTTTCGTTGTGCGTCAGGCCAGGCCATCTCTCATTCTCTTCTTCTTTTCCCTGGAAACATTGCCCACGGGGCCCAATGACACCTTCCCCGAGGCCCAGCGCCGCAGACTCTGGGGGCGGCCCCCCTCCTGTGTCCTCCTCTCAGCGCACGTCCTGCCCCCCCCCATCCCAGCAGCCGGACCTGCTCCCTGCCGGAGGGCCCCCCACTCTGCTCCTCTCTCAAAGCTTCAGCACTGCCTCGCACCCACCTGAGCGGGAGCCTCTGCCCTCCGAGCCCCCAGCAGTCGAAACCGATGCCGGCCGAGGATGTGTAAACCCCCGGGCCCCCTGACCCCCGGGGTGGGATTGTTCTGGAATCTCCAGGGTCTCCCATCAGGATTAAGCTTCAGCTGCCCTCGGAGGCGACTGGCCTGAGGAAGTGGCCCGTGTGGTGACTGTCCCCCCCTCCCCCTCCTGTCCACAGTAGACATCAGGAGCATCCTTCCGTCAGGTCTGCTTCTGGAGAAAACTGTAAGGTGCTCTGGACAAGGGACTGTCGCCCTTCCTACGCTTGGGACAAGCGTGGGGCGCGTGTGGCTGTCACTGACGGTTCCAAAGCTGTCTCTTTACAGGTGGGCGGCCATTCATCCTGACTTGCCCGGACCTGCGCTCCTGGTGTCCGTCTGGCTTAGCGTTTCCCTTGGAGGGAAGTGGCCCGGCTTGGGGGACCAGGTGCGCCATTCCTAGGACAGTTGTGGTTGGGCAGGGGAGCGGGGTTTAACAGGGCCCCGGAGGTTAGAGCCGGTGGTGACGGATGAGAAGCTGAGGCCCAGGGCACACGAGGGGGACTGCTCCTGGCCAGGCCCCAGAAGCCAGGTGACGCTGGGCAGGGCGTCCCCCTCGTCCCCCTTCCCCTGGCCCACCACTTTGCAGCAGGCCATCACTCAGCGGTGCCCCGTTGACCTTACCGTGGAGTCACAGCATCCTTGCTTCGAAAATCTGGCTTTGTTCTACGGGCGCCCGGGGGGCTCAGTCACTTAAGCCTCTGACTTCGGCTCCGGTCGTGATCTTACGGTTTGTGAGTTCGAGTCCGGTGTCGGGCCCTGTGCTGACAGCTCGGAGCCTGGAGCCTGCTTGGGATTCTGTGTCTCCCTCTCTCTCTCTGCCCTTCCCCTGCCCTCCCCCTCTCAAAATAAATAAAGTTTATAAACAAATAAAACAAAATCTGGCCATGTTCCGAAGGAAGCCTCGCTACACCTTGGCGAGTTGGTGCCTTGGCCTGAAAAGAAGTTGGACCCACTGACCACTAGGTGGCGTCCAACACACGCGCGCTCGTCCCCGGCACGCGCGTCCCGGGGGCGCGCCTATAGACGAGCTGACGTCACGCACACACGTCCCCTGCAGGCACACATCTCCAGCACGCGCGTCCCAGGCTGCGCAGACCGCTTGACGTCACACACACACACACAGACACGCACACCCTGCACGCACATCCCGGGGCCGCACAGACGGCCTGAGGTCACTCATATATACACACATACACACACACACACACACACACACACACACACACACACCCCCTGCACGCGCGTCCTGGGCCGCACAGACGGCCTGACGTCGGTGTAAGGACCCGCGAGGTCCGAGTCCCGGCACCCGAGGCCTCACCTCGGCTCGCAGATGCACACCCACATCCGTTGGGCACACTTGGGGTGGAAAAGGTGAGGTGCGCCGTGCTCACGGGGAAGGGAGGTGAGCCTCCGAGAAAACATTCAGGGAACCTGTTGCCCCTTACAACTCGGCTCAGTGTCCCGGGAAACCTCCAGCCCCCTTGGGCAGAGCCTGGGTGACTTAAGAGCCCGGCTGGCACAGAGAGCCCTGGTTCCCGGCGTCCCTCTGCCCCTGCCCGCGGGTACCTTTGGGCAAAAACCCTGTCTCCACTTCTGGCTCTAGAAACCAGGGCCCCTCGCACAGCAGTGCTTGTATTTGCTTGTTGAAGGAACGGCAGGTGCCGTCCGAGCTGGGCCTTTGTGAACAGGGAGGAATGAAGGGTGGGGGTGGCCGGGTGCGGGGAGGGGGAGACTCATTAGGAAGACAGGAAGCAGAGGCAAGAGGCTGCTTCCCACCCCCTCCCCCATCACTCTCTGGAGCATCTGAGCCACAGGGACCCCTTCTGGCTCCGGAAACCAAGAGCTTTGCAAGGCCGTCTCCTCCTAGGCCGGCCTCTGCCACCCCGTCTCCTGGTTCTCTGGACATTTGCACGGCCTTGCAGGGGAGGCGTGTGGCCAGGGCCGCCACGATGCTCCCGCCCCCTGGTGGCAGCCCTCGCTGAGCCCATGGCTCTCTTCTCCGAGTGAACTTCAGGATCACCAGGGAAGCTTTTCAAAAAATACGGAGGCTTTATTTAATTGGCCTGGGGTGGGGCTGGGGGGCATCGTGTGATCCTGGCGATTGGCGACACTGAGAAGCCCTGAGCTGCTTCCCCCAGCCTCCTTCCCCGCAGGACGTCCCAGAGCCCTCTGGGGGCTGCGTTACATGTCCCTGCGGGCCAGCCTGCGGCTCCGTGGGTCCCGGAGACCTCTCCTGGGCAGATAAATGGAAGCGTTCAATCGTTCGGCCAAGAGCCACACGGAGAAAATCTTGGCCCCTGGAGAGAAGGACTGGGGGTTTGCGGGAAGCACAGAGAGACAAGGGACAGTGAGGGGGGCGCCGAGAGGCAGAGGGAGAGAGCATGTGCGGGGGCTGGGCCGCAGCGAGAGAAGAGTCCCCTCTCTGGAACAGAAGACCCGCAGGGGGCCGTGGGGGCCACAGGCAGGTGGGTGGGCAGCCCAGAGGTTGGGCCGACTGGGTGGCGAGGCCTCTCAGGGTGGGAAGGGAGCTTTTAGCCCCCACAAGTGGGACAAAAGAACACCTCTGTCCGTAGCAGCCCTTCAGGGCCCCAGCCAGAAATTTCCTCCCTGAGGACCCCGAGGCCCCGGCCTGCCAGCCCTGAGGACACAGACCACTGGGACTTCTGCGGGCAGGGCTCCTGGGAGCTCCTATCAGGCTTTTATTCACGCGCTGCTGAACGATGATTCCCCGATAGTGGCCCTGGCTTTGGGCAGAGGACGGGTCGCGCTGGGGAGGGCTTGGCTTCTCAGCGGGGGGCCCAAGCCATGGCCGTGGCCGGGCTGGGGCTCCGTGCTGCCGGATGGAGCCTTGTGGAGCCTGAGGCTCGTGGTGTGGGCGTCCCTGTGGGGCAAAGGGACAGCAGATGGGTGGCGGTGGTGCGTGTCCCTTACTGGGACAAGTCTCTAGAGACAGCTCTCGCGGGGCGCCTGGGTGGCTCAGTCGGTTGAGCATCCGACTTCGACTCAGATCACGATCTCGCAGTTCGTGAGTTCGAGCCCCGCATCCGGTTCTGTGCGGACAGCTCGGAGCCTGGAGCCTGCTTCGGATTCTGTGTCTCCCTCTCTCTCTGCCCTTCCCCCTTACGCTCTGTCTCTCTCTCTCCTTCAAAAATAAATAAACATTAAAATAAGTAAAAAAATAAAAAAGAATCTAATACTCCTGTGTCCACGGAATGGACTAGCACGGCTGGGAAGGACACACACGGTGTCCGTCACGGGAGGCGCGTCGGGCTGTGGGAACACAGCTTGGGGTGAGGCCCCGAGGCCCCAGGCCTGCAGCAGGACCTGCCTGTCCCTCACCCGGAGGCTGTCATCAATTTTCAATTAGCCGGCGGCTGCGGGCTCCAGACTCCCGCGCACTAATGAAGGCACTGGAGACAGCGCTGGACCAGGACGGGCCTCAAATTAGGTTACCCTGTAGAGGGACATCCAGGCTTCGCTTTGGAGCTGTTGGCTTACCTCCGGCAGGGCGGGGCATCTCCCTGGGCTTGGGGGTGGGGGGTGAGCTCTACCCCCCCCCCCCCCCCGCTTCCCCCGGGGCCCGGGTGGGGGGGGGGGGGGGGGGGAGTGATGCTGGTGGTCAGAGACTTTTGTACCCCAGGGGCGGAGTCTCACGCCTCCGGAAGTCTTCCTTCTGGAAGGGCAAGCAGGAGCTGAAGACAGGGCCGGGGGTGGGGGGCTGTGTCCGCTGCCCACATGTAGACGAGGCCGAGGGGCGCGAGGAGGCCCAGGCTCCACGACGGGAAGCCCGTCCGCGGGCAGAAGCGAGGCTGTTGCCGGAACGGGGATGGGGGACAGGGCAGAGGGCCGGTCAGAGCATCGAAAGCTGGCCATACAACCCGGAACGGTCGCTGGGGAGCCCGGGCGGAGCCGTCCATGCTCCCGTCTTCCCGGCAAAGCGCCTGGGGAGTGCCCGCTGCCCAGACCCGCTTGCCCTAGTCTGTCTAGTCTACCGTCCAGGCCAGCCACAGGCGGCCCGCGGTCGGGGCCAGCCCTCTGCCTTTCCGCCCTGATCCTCGGGAAGCTGGAAATGGGGCACGGTCCTGACAGGCTGGGGACCTGGCGGAAGGGGCGGGCGGGGGCTCGTCGTGACCCTCGGCACCCAGGTTGCCGCCTCAGGGCTTGCTGGGTGTGTCCCGCCCTGGACTGGGGGGGGCCCGGGAAGGAGGCAGAGGGTCTGGCGGTGGGCGGGGGCTCCCCGACCTCCAGGAAGTTGAACCGACATCTGTGAAATGCCTTTCCCAGAAAGTGTCATCGTCTTTTCAGGGTGTGTCCTGGCGGCTTGGACACGGGCGTGTGGGGGGGGGGGCGC